GCGAAAGAGATCTCAACGCCCGGTATATAACCGAAGCCCCAATCCAGCCCTGTGACACCCGGGGGGTTCCTGGGGTCTGAGATGGCTGACATTTTGGTGAGCGGAGGCAGTTCTCCGCTCACCTCCCACGGCACGCGAAAACGGAGCTGTTTTGGGACTATTTTGCTCGGTTCGGTGAGCGGTCGCTTTGCAACGCTGCAGCTTGTTCGAACTTACATATTTACAAGCAAAATGACCCAAAACCAAGAGAAAACATGCTGCCAAGCAGCTGTACATGCAGGTGTGAGCGACGAACGGTTCGTTGAACGGAGTTGTTGCGGGTGCGCGACGACCGTTCGTGACAGCACGGTGAGAGAGAAAAAAAGAGAAGAAAAATTAAGACTTTGAGTATTCTGCTTGACGATCAGTGGCCAAACATTATCAGTTTTGGCTCACATTTTATGTAAAAAATCCTTGCAGCAAGTTCTACCATCCTAACGGTGTTGATCTGCAGTTTATCCTCTTTGAGGTACTTTCCTACTATACCCACTTTATGAGACCTAAAATTCTCTCGTGATGAGATCCATCTATGTGATGAAGATATACTATTCTTTAGCCAAGATATATGATCTTGATATTATTTTGATCCTCTGGTTATTTTAGAGAAGACATATTGTAAACCTGTTATCATTATTACTGATAGTGGAAGTTTGAGGTGAACTACGGTCCTGTGATTCTTCCCGCATTGGGTTTTTCATGTTAAAAATTTGGTCTCATTGTGTGATTCATTTATTGCTCTACTGTTTATACTGCTCTAGTTGATATTTACATTTTGATATCAAGTTAGTAGTTGGTATTTTGATGAAGAACCCTTATACAAAGAGAGAAAAAAATTAATTATTCCGTTTTAAAGAGTTTTTCCCAACAGATATTAGATCTTCGGCATCTAGTTTTGTCAAGAGAAAACCGGCAGAATCCCGTGAACGTGAGTTGCTGTTTGGAGTTGCAGCTTGGTTCATCATCATCTTAAGGTACTATTGTGACTTGTCGGCATCAAAGATGTCCTTTACGTGGAAGAAAGGCGGAGCTGCAGGCGATATATCGATCCTGCACGACACTCCATCGATGTCTTCTTTACATGAGTAAATATGCATGCATGAATTGTTCGGCAAAACCTAACCTATTCAATGTCGTTCGTCAACTACGTGTACGACTCTCATCATGCATGGTTTAGATCATCTATATTAGGGCTCGTCTCCCTTCACCGCAGTCATCCGAGAGCATGAACTCTGTCAGGACATGGAACAGCAGCAGCAGCAATCTGCGCCGCCCTCGGCGGTGGTCAACAAGACGGTATCGAGCGTGGCGAGCCTGGTGAAGCTGCTGCCGAGCGGCACCGTGCTGGCCTTCCAAGCCCTGGCGCCGCCCTTCTCCAACCGCGGCGCGTGCCGGCGCTCTAACAGGTACCTCACCGCGGCGCTGATCCACCTGTGCGCCGCCGCATGCGCGCTCCTCTCCCTTACCGACAGCCTCAGGGGCGGTGACGGCAAGCTCTACTACGGGATCGCCACCTTGGGGGGGCTGCACGTGGTCAACTACGAGGGGGAGGAGGAGGAGCGGGGCAGGGTGTTGAGGGACCTGAGGCGGTACCGGCTGCGGGTGCGGGACGGCGTCCACGCGGTGCTGGGGGTGGTGATGTTCTTGGCCGTGGCCTTCAGCGACGCCGACGTCGTCGAGTGCTTCTTCCCCGAGGTAGGGGCGGAGGTGAGGCAGCTGCTGGTGAACCTGCCGCTGGGGGCTGGGCTCGTGGCCAGCGTGGTGTTCGTGATGTTTCCGACGACTCGAAAGGGCGTCGGCTACGCGGACACGGCTCATCACACGGAGTTGTCGTGAGGACTGAGAACGAGAGATGAAAGAGAAGAGAACACGAAAAACAAAGAAGAAGAAAAAGGATTAAACGACGTCGACAGCAGGGTTCGAACCTGCGCGGGCGAAGCCCAACAGATTTCAAGTCTGTCTCCTTAACCACTCGGACATATCGACATCACAATTAGCCTCTTTCGTAACAATATTTAACTAATTGTTTTAGCAAAGAAGGTGAAATAACTTACTTCAACGATGCGAGGAAAAATAAAGTATTATAATATGAGCCAATAAGACTTGTTATTGTGGTTCTACGAAGTCCCGACATAGACACTAAGAGCCACGGCAGACAAATGACAAGATCCATCGTATCTCTAATTACTCTGAAAATGGATTATCAACCACAGCAAAATATGGTTACAAAGTTTATGAGATCCAAACTGAGATGTGCTATGGAGGGGAAGAGAGCTGAGTTCTATCAAGTTGCGCACTGGAAAATTGGGATTAAAAGAGGACAGTATATTGAATACATAATAATTTGTACAATAATAGAAAAATGACTGCATATAAATTATCTGAATCACGAGAAACAATTCTGCAGTTGCGTGGATGAATGACAATCGAGAAGTCATCTTTGAAATAATAAGTCATCTTAGACTACAAAATAGACATTGCAAGATTTTCTAGTATATATCCGTATGATCAAAATTCAAAATACATATGATCGTACAAAAATGAGGATATTAAGTGCCTGTCCGTTTGCTCTTGGAGTGGGGATATTAAACGTATTCAAGACAGTCTCATGCACTATGTTTGACATCCAAGTAAGAAAAACAATTTCAAAATCCAATATCTTCAATAAATGTTCAATAAATTAAAAAAGTAAAATTCTATGTAAGATTCTCATGTCTGCAAAGACAAAGGAATAGAAATCAAGGTCCTTGAGATCCCCATATGATTTCTATATACAACATATTACAACTGTACAGAGCAAGGTCACCGTAACATTCCGATATCAGCACCCTGGCAGTGAGTTATCTATCATAAACTCCGACTCATCTGCCAACAAAGAAAGTCCAGCATAATACCATGTGATCATAGCTTGGAGTAGATATAATAATAAAATTGCATACAATTAAGCAGCATTACATTTCAAAACTTCCAACTTTTTGCCTGCCGTTACTGTGATATTGTTCTCATTTTCTCTCCACAATTATCTCTTCCCAAAATTGGAACTCATCAGCTGCTTCCCTTTCAATCAGACTTGGTGTATTCAAGAAGCATGTGTGGAGATCTGTAGATCTTTACTAGGGTCCAATAAAGAACCTCTTCCACTTCTAACTCACCCTCTGCACGTGCGGCATAGATGTTCTCGCATATTGCTATAAGTCTACACCCAAAGAAGAAAATCTGATTAAAACAGAGTACAGATACTAAATGGACAAAAAAGTGATGAAACAATCCTTTATGCAATTATGGCACTGCAAAAGGAGCCAATGATTGTCAATCATCAGATGGAATGAGAAGCAAAAACATTTAGATATTTGCATCAACTGACAGACCATCTACTTCTTTTCGCAAGATTTAAGTGTCAAAATTGAATCCCGGTACAGTCACGGGTTGAAGATTGCTGGTAACAGAGCATGCAATAGTAATGTGGTCAATATCAATATTTTCATATAAATGAACTGCCAGAGTTGGATGATTCATATCGCATGGATGGATAAAATATTCATTTATAACTGTGATGTGTCACATTTATGGAGGCTTCATTTCCGATAAACAAAGAAGTGCTTACTTTCCTTTCTTCTTTTGTCGAGGGACTTGGATGGTTGTTCCTTTACTATGTTACTATGCTGTCATAATCAAATGCAACGGAAATATGAGTGGCTTGTGTTGTTCATTTCATATTTATTTACAAAATTCCAGATGTGCATTCAGACTACTGGAAGATGCCTTGTATCCATGGAAAACATTTGGATGGAACCAATTGACTATTAAAAGAAGCATTTTTTTTTTTACTATCAAAAGAAGCATATTTTGAGAATTTATAGGGGTTAAGTAGGAAAAGATGATAACCATTTCAAATGCAATTTATCTCTCATTCATCTCAATCCATATTCATAATATTGGATAGTGAAAGCACTAGCATACCTGTCACATGAAGGAAGATTCTCATAGGGTATTCTCATCCTCAAGTCAGAACACTGAAGTCTAATAAATCGGCCAACAGCTAGAACAAAAGTAAGGTAGAGACTCCAAATGCTGAACTTGCTTAGTGTTTCACCAAGGATACCCTCTGGAAATAAGAAACGACAAGCATATATCAATTAGAATTAAAAACAACAAATGACACTGGCCACTATGACAAAAACTACACACAAGTCAAGCAAATCCATCCACAAACAACAGAGATAGATGTCTAATTATATAATAGTGTGCATACAGGTTATTGCCTTATCTGATAGATTCTATCAGCACCAATGAGAAATGTTTCATGCAACCCTGAACCCATGTTAAAGAGCAAACATCTAACTGTTAGGCACCTGAGTAGTTGCCATCGCCTAGACAACAACCAGCTGAATTTTTAAGTTTCAAGATCACAGAAATCTCTCCTTTATTTGGTATATATTTTCACAAAGAAAATAATGAAAATTCACATTGTAATTAGAGTTATGACAAAATAAACTAGTCACATAGCAACCAGTTGACATTGCCTCCTATGTTTCTTGAGTACAAAGTTAAGGCACAGAACATCAATCTCTGTTCACATCTACAGTGCCATCAAATCTCATTGAAGTTGAAAAGTGTTCGATGGCAATGGCAGTGAGACGACTCAGTTCCGTTGATCGACAACGATAACCATCACTCACTTCTATCAATGTACAAGGATCGGGCAGCAGTAGTTATAGTATTAGGTAGTTGACTGTCCCTTTGCATTTGAGCAGGACAACTAGCATTAGGTACTCTAGGCTACAAGGTTATCAGAAGGCTTGGCAAGAGGACAACTCCTCGTGTTGTTTATTTGGATCCTCCTGCTTGCCTATGGTAGACAGCAAAAGAAACAGAATGATGATGCCGACAAGAAGGAGAAGGATGTTGGAAAAGGTATTGCAATGTGTTTCAACTTTCAATGAATCCAAGCACATACAGCCCACGATCTTTACTACCAAAGCATGACGTCATCCATCTAGAAGTCTGATCCCGACATATAATCTCCCATCCCAAAAAAGATACATGATATGTATCTAGATGAGGAGGTCCAAAAGCCTCAAGACTAGATTAAGCCATTCAAGAAGCAACACAGCAGTATGGTATTATTACAGTGATGTGTGTCCATTGATTCGGGCCAACAAGATTAGGTCATTCAATTTCCTTGCGTATTGGAACAGAAGGATAGTTTTCTGTAAATCAGTTGATGCCTCCAACAAGATCCACAATGTGGGGTTAATGGAGACAGCAGTTGTTGAGGTCAGAGTGAAGTATTGTAGATAGTAACAGATAATGAGGAAAATTTAAAGGTCAATCTGCAGTTGCTGGAGCATAGCAACCTTTATACCAGACACCATATGCACTACATTGTATAAACTACTAGCGGTCATGGCATGATTCAACAAAGTTGGACACCTTACCATCACAACAAGGGAAAGTGCTCAGAATAATAGTCAATTGATCCTCTAGACACAATTGAGGAGCAACAAAGTCACTTAAACTAGGAGAGACGTCTGCTTCGTAAGGTCTGTGGAGATAGTAGTGATGTGAACAGCGAACCATCATCCACGATGGTGTGGGGAATGGACCGAATAATATCTCACTTATACCATTCAAGATATGGATCACAGAGGATGAGCATCCTTGCAGCTTGTTTATGGCCACAAATAAAAAGGGAAGGGGAAAGCAGTGGATAACTATGAGTATATGTGACAAAGCGATGTTGACAGTTGACACCAATATGAGTTCATCTTATCCACAACATTCCTATTACAGTGGATTTCATGGTTAATAGACATATGGTGACGAATGATTTTTTTTTTAAGATACATCTTATGACAACAATAGCAATGATGAGCAAGGACTGTTAAACCACCCAAAATGGTACGATATGGTGGGTACGTGCCGGATCGAGCGTGGGCCTATACGCAGACCACCCCTGTTTCGAGAAAGTGGTGGGGCCTGTCCAACTCAGCATTAAAAAATAAAAAAAATAAATTAGAGCTCACAAACCCGAGCCCTTTTCTCGCGTATGACCCTGCCACCATCGATACTGCCATTGCCCCTACCATTGTTCCTTCTTCCCATGTAAGCTCCCACCTCTTCTCCTCCTCTTCTTCCTTCTTCCTTTTTCTCATCCATCGCTTCTTCTTCCTTCCTCCTCCCTCCTTTCTCGTCTGTTCCTCCACCTCCTCTTCCTCTTTTTCTTCCTCTATGAAACACCAATACATATCAATGTACCATGTGTCAGTACACCAATACAGACCGGTCTGATAGATCACCAAAACGAGTCTGGTACTTGAAATGACAATTCTTGGTGACGAGAGTTGTAACTCCAATGCACTTTGTCCCATAGTCGTATATGCCATAGTTGTACTAGCCTTAAGTGCCTCTTTCTAAATGGGTCATTTATGAAGATAAGACACGGCTACCACTTCATTGCATCAATGGCAAACAATTTATCACACTGGGAACAATTTCATGCATGGGTCATGTAGGCACACCATATCGATCTACAATTTCATCAGATATAGAATCATGATCTACCTGCCATTGACATACCTTCCATTTTGGTGGTAGGAAGGACTACAATTTTGTGCCAACTGATCGTGCCAATCTTTGGCCCATCTAGTACGTACCGGTTTGTAATGACATATCGACACATGATCTGTCGGAATGTGCTGATAGTTACAAAAAAAAACCCAAAAACCCCAAAAATACATGAAAATTAAGGAAAAGCCTAAATTCACGTATTTTAATTAGAATTAAATGCAAATTTAGTTCTATTTCAATAAAAAAATCCAAATAAGGGATAACAAATTTATCTTTTCCGAACATTGATGAGTAGCTTTGCGGCATGTTCGATTCTTCCATTGATATTGAACAAGAGTAAAAATTTGTGAGAAAGAGAGTGATTGGTTGAGAAAGAGTGTTTGAAGATGTGAGATTAAAATAGGGTAGGGTGAAAGAGGGTGCGAGGAATGGGGTTAAATAGGCATTTATAAGGGTCCAATGATCAAATTGACCATTGGAACCAGTTCAACCTGGGCACGATCGAAATCCAACCATT